AATTGTTCAGATTGTATCTCAAACGATTTAAAACAGACATTTATAGAGGTTTGAGCAGCCCCCATATCCTCAACCCCTGGTTTAAAAAGAAATGTGTATAGTGATTAATTATCCCCTATTACCCTTTTTTTTAATGGTAGTAGTTTCCAGAGAAGCGAGAGATTGGAAGTCAATAAATAGGTATAATAGCCAAGGGGGTTGGGAGAGGGAGAGAAGTGATCACATATTCCTCCTTCTATTCACTCATTCGGTAAGTATTTGCTGGTCATACTATGTACCAGGTACTCTAAGGCTAGGACCTGGAGACCCAGAAGTGACCAGAGAAGGGGGATTCCTGCCTACAGCTTCTGTTTAGTCAGAGGAAACAAAAATGAACAAATCAATGAAATAAACAGAAAACATTATTTTAAATTGGGGTTAAGTACTTTCAAGGAAACCAACAAGGTGATGAAAAAGCAAATTGCCACAATAGAGGTGGGTCCCACTTTGCACAGAGAATCAGGAAAGGCTTCTCTGGGACATAAAGTGGATGCTGCAACCGCCAATCACATCGCTAGGAATAGGCAGAACATGCCAGATAAAGTGGAAAGGTGCTGATGTCATCAAGCATTCAGTGTGTCTGAAGAACAGAAGGAAAAGCAGATACAGAAAGTGAGAAATCATCTGAGTGACCTATGCCCTCTATTTTAACCCTTGGAAAATGTATTTCCTAAAAATGGATTATTAATAATGTTAATAATAATTGTCTTTATTTAAAAACCATTTGTTTTAGTTGCTGTAAGAATATCTTCTGCACTTTATCTCTCAACTTTCCCAATATCCATCAGATTCCAAAACACAGAAATTATTATTCTAGTTTGACACAGGAGAAGGCAGCCTTAGAGAGCTCAGACAAATTGTTCACGATTACACAGTAGCAGCAGAACTGGAATTCATACTCAGGTTCATCTATCTGCAGAGCCTACACCTTTTTGTTTCCTTTAACTTGTTTTGTTCAGCAAATATTTGAACCCTATGCTAGGAACTCTGCACACAGAAATGAATGAAGCAAAATGTTGTGGACTGTTTCTAAAGATGGCCACACAGTATCTTCCATCCCAACAGGCCCTTTTGCAATGTCACCTTTCTGCACCTGCATCAAGAGGGAAGTCTATTCCTTCTCTTGCTAGCCCTGAGGCTTATTTTGACCAAAAGAAGAGTTTTCCATTATGTCTTGCCTGAATTCCCAGCCCTCAGAATTGTAAGCAAATAAAATGGTTGTTTCAAGAAAGGAAGTCTTGAAAGTCGTTTGGTGATTTAGCATAACCAAAATGCATAAGGAGCTCAGCCTGGAGAAGGAAACAAGCATACAAATATATTTAAAATAATGCAAGTGTTCCCATGTTTACTGCAGCATTATTCACAATAGCCAAGATACACAAGCATCCTACATGTCCATTTATGGATGAATGGATAAAAAATACAGCATATAAACACAACTGAAATACTACTTAGCCATACAAGAGAAGAAAGTTCCGTTATTTGTGACAACACAGTTGAACATGAAGGACATTATGTTAAGTGAAATAAACTAGGCACCAAAAGAGAAGTATTGCATGATCTTATTTATATGTGGAATCTAAAAAGTTGAGCCTACAGAAGCAGAGAGTAGAAGGATGATTACCAGAGGCTGAGGAGTGGGGAGGTTGGAATGTTGTAGGTCAAAGGATACAAAATTTAAGTTGGGCAAGAAGAATAAGTGCAAGAGTTCTATGGTACCAGATGGTGACTACAATTAATAGCAATATATTGTATACTTGAAAATTACTAAGAGAGTGTTCCCATAAGAAAACATAATTATGAGAGGAAATGCATATGTTAAATACTTTGACTTAACAATTACAAAAAGTATACATAATTCAAAACATCATGTTATACACCATGAATATATACAATTTTACTTGTCAATTAGAAAATACATGATTTTTAAAAGTAGTGTGAGTAGCATCATGAGAGCGCAGCGGAGAAGCATTTAAGTCAGTGTTGCGCAGAGGTGGACAAACTTTTTTGGGAAAGACCCAAATAGTAAATATTTTAAGTTTTGTGGGCCACACCTTCTTTGTCTCAGGACGTAATTCTGCCATTGCAGAGGAAAACAGCCAAAGACAACATATAATCAAACGAATGTGTCTGAGTTCCAATTAAACTTTATTTACAAACACAGAGGGAGAACAGGATTTGCCCCCAGGAGCTGTAATTGCCAGCATCTGGCCTTCTTAGAGCATCAGAGGAAACCAATTGAAGGCATAGTGCCTGAGAGTAGCATCTTAAAGGATCAATCAGGAACTGAAGCTCTGTGGTCCTGGGAAACCCTTCAGCCTTTTAACTTAACACATAAGATAATAACCGTATGTGACACTGCATATTCTGGACTCTGAAAGGTCATTCCCGAAGGGCAACAGGGAGCTCAGTCATTACAGAAGGCCTGGAAAACAGGGGAAATGGAAGAGCTGGGAGCCTGAGGGCTTAGTGAAGCTTTTCCTCTAGCCCTGGTGAACCCCGAATAAGAATTAAGAACTTAGCATATGACTCAACAGAAGCTCCAGCTCTCTCATTGCATTAGTCTGTTCCCACGTTGCTACAAATATACTATCCAAGACTGGGTAATTTATAAAGGAAAGGGATTTAATTGACTCACAGTTCAGCATGGCCAGAGAGAAACTTACATTCAGGACAGAAGGAGAAGCAAATGCATCCTTCTTCACAGGGTGGCAAAAAGGAGAATGAATGAGTGCTCAGTGAAGGAGGAAGCCCCTTAGAAAACCACCAGATCTCGTGAGAACTAACTCACTATCAAGAGGACAGGAAGGGGGAACCTGCCCTCATGATTCAATTATCTCCAGCTGGTCCCTCTCACAACACATGGGGATTATGGGAACTACAATCAAGATGAGATTCGGGTGGGAACACAGCCAAACCATATCACTCATCTCCATACATCAAAGTAAGCACCTAAAACCTCTGTTCTGGAAATTATATCGTTGAATCTAATCTAACAAGTATGTCACTACTCCCCTTAGAGACTATCACAGAGTTTCTGAAGAATAGGGAGCATGTCTTTTTCTTACTAGCAAATAGCATCTCTTGTACACGTTTTCTTTCTAGGAGAGCCAAGTATGTTTCTTGTCTTTGAGCTCTTTAGCTTCCCTTCATGCCTGATGCTTCTCAGTCACAGACCTGCTTCTCTTAATCTGGAAAACAACTCACTCTTTAGCCTGAATACCACACTCTGGCAGCATCAGGAAAAGCACCGGTGAAAGCATTTAGAGTTCCAAGCTAAGACCAATGGGAGTTCTAAAAACTGTGACTGGGCACAGGAAATTTGAGCTGATACCATGTTTTCAGATGGTGGTTCCAGGATGGAAGAATGAAAGCAAATCCTGAGAACCAAATCAGATAAATGCCCGGTGGAAAAAGAATTTCAGGAACAGATCTCGGGGTGGGCAGGGAGGCCATGGGTAGGTACGCATGACTTTGACTAGGTACCATCTCTTCTTTCCAAGGTCACTCCTCGTGTCACATGACCACTGTCATTCCTCCTCACCACCATTGATGGACACCACCATCGCAAAATTCTGTACTCCTTACTTCTGAGAAGATCCACTGCTCACTCTTTTATGGTTTTTTTTTTTTAATGTTTATTATGAAACGGGAAAGGTTCCCTTGCCCCTTTGCAGGGCATGCTATGGGGGTGTGGCTCGCTTCTTCAGTGCCCCACTGCTCAAACCTCTAGGGAACCATATAGATGGGCAGGCTCTGGGGCTCTGACCCCATGACAGTGTCTGGGGGTGAATGTTTACAGCTGAAGCCCCAGTGGGCATGCGTTAGAGTGCTCTTTTAGTTTAGCTTCCATAGGCGGCTTGTGTTAACCAGCTCAATTAGGCCCTCTACTTTGTCTCAAGGACAGAGGGCTTTCTGTATCCCAGGTTCTTGCCTTGGTGTGCTGGAAGAATCGGATCAAACCTAGGTTTGGAGAATGAATGCAAGGTGTTATTGAGTGGAGGTAGCTCTCAGCAGCTGGGGGAAGCCAGAAAGGGATGGAGTGGAAAGGTTTTCCCCTGGAGTAAGGCAGCCCGGGCTCTCCTCCGACTGCCCCAGCCAAACTCCGTGCCATTCTGCCAGTCAGTGGCCTGCCAGCCTGTTGGTGCCTGTCAGTGTGTCCCTTGCGACATCCAGCCACCCATGTGTTCCTCTGCTGATGTGCACCTCTCTAAGTCCAGCCACCTGTGTGTCTGCCTGCTAGGGTCTTGGCAGTTTTTATAGGCACAGGATGTTGGTATGGCAGACTAGGGTGGAAATGTAACATTTGGGCAGGAAAACAAAAATTCCTGTCCTCACCTAGGTCCATGGGCACAGGCCTGGGGGTGGAGCCCTAGCCAGGGACCACACCCTTTCCCACTTCTGTATCATTTAGAGGGACCATGCCCTTCCCTTCCCAGCACTTCTCTTCCATATCAGTTATATGTGCGTTCACAGAAACAGATACACCCATAAACACATCACCAAGTAGAGAGAGCAGTAATTATGACCTGCTTAGGTCTTAAGTGAACTAAGTGATCCAGCATGTGTCAACCCCAACTGTCCCCCTAATTCCATCTCTGGACTCTGTCCACACCAATTTGTCACCATTTCTCTATTACAATCTTCTCCCCAAGACTTGGCTCAAACTTATTTTGGGAACCACTCTCCATTCTCTAGTAAATTCAGCCATCAGCTACTCTGTAAGCGCATGTTGCACTTTGAGCAATTTTTAAAAATACCATCATCAGATCACATTGATGTTTTTAAACATTAATATTCCTCATTGGACTATGAACTTTCTGAAGTCGGAGTACACATTCTATAGCCTACAATAGGAATGCAATCAGTATTTGTTGAACAAACAAATAATAAAATAATAATTCTTGCTGGAGTCAATACGTTTAAATTTGAAAATGAAAAGAAAGGATATAGTGACTCACCAGACAGAAAATCGGTGTTCCTCCAGTTCCTCCAAGTAAGATATGTCCTGTGAATAATCTTCAGCTTCTCCAGTTCTCAAAACAGTTGATTTTTCTTTCACAGAATGATCCGTCAGGCTATCTCCCTTGTCAAATAAATTAACAAATACGGAAAAAATGAAGTATTTTATTAATAGGAGATTGAAAGTTCACCTAGTTTCAGTGACATTTTCCCCAGAATGACTTATAGAATCATTTGATCCTGAAGAAGCATCGTTAGGCATGGGTTTTGCATTGAAATTATTGTTTTATGCTCTAGATACTCTCCCTAAATTTTTATCTCTGTCGAGGCAGAGACTATGACATGTTCACTTTTGTCTTATTTCACATGGGACAGCTTATGTAAATGTTGTCAGAATGGAAAGACAAACATAATGATGGTCACAGTATTTGTACTGAATCAGGACTTTTGGATGCAAGTGAAATAAATGCAACTTGAGCTAGCTCTCAACAGAGTAATTTGAAGGGAGATTTGAACAACAGGTCTATGGAGAAGGAAAAGAGAAGGATATTCTGCTGAATTTCAAGAACACAAGAATCGAGGACTTGAAGGCTCCCAGGACTCTCTTTGCCTCTGTTCTGTGCTCTGGCAGGTTACTTCATTGTAGCGTTGTCACTAATGGCTCCTGAGTCCCCCAGCCTGTGATTCTCAACAGCATCCATTCAAGCACAGGAATTGCATGTTGTCTATGGAGCTCCTTCCTAGAACTTGAAAAATGATGTAACCTGTGATGATGGGTCCAGAAGGCAAACAGCCCTGTGGCTCAACTAAGGGTTCTTGGGGCCCTGCTACGGCAGGGAATTGGAAGGGGGAGCAGCTAACCTAGTAGGGCTCTTCCTTCCTCTCCCACCCTACAAGCTCGGTTTTTACCTGTTTTATTTATTGGGGTCTCCTGCTAAGCTTTTACTATAAATGGTACTGACATGGTTGGGATGTTTGTCCACTCCAAACATCATATTGAAATGTAATCCCCAGTGTTGAAGGTGGGGCACAGTGGGGAGGTGCTGGGATCAAGGTGGTGGATCCCTCATGGCTGGCTTAGTGTTGTCCTCAAGATAGTGAGTTCTTGTGAGATATGGTTGATTAAAAGTATGTGGCACCTCTCTTATCTCTCTCATGGTCCTGCTCTCACCATTTGAAGCGCCAGCTCCCACTTTGCTTTCTGCCATGACTGTAAGGTTCCTGAGGTCTTCACCAGAAGCACATGCTGCAGCTATGCTGATACAGCCTGCACAAGCATGAGCCAATTAAGCCTCTTTCCTTTATAAATTCCCCAGACTCAGGTATTTCTTTATAGCAATGCAAGAATGGCCTAACCCATGTGCTGATAAGGAGTTTGAAAATCATTAGTCTAGAGAAGCAGAAAATCAGGCATGACTTGCATTTATAAGATAGTTTTGTTAAAACTCCTCTTCCCTTTTCTTTAGACCCTTGTCAAACATTTTAAATGATTATTTGTAAGAGGTCAGTTTGGTTGAAATTCCTTAATATTAGCCGACACAAGTTTTAGCACAACTTCGTAGTTGGAATAGCTTGAAATCGCAAAATGTTGCTTTGGGTTGACAGATTGTTGTAGCCAGGAAAACCTAAGCATGAAACTCAGGTGAATGAGATGTGTCATCAAATCCCCAGTGAACTCAACAAGTTTCATTTCCTTTATTATAAAATTGATCAATTTGATTACCTTAAGAAGAAAATCCAGTTATGACAGATATCAATTTAAAGTAAGTGCCTTTCATTGTGGTCCTTTATTTTAGCTTCTATAGCATAGAAGTATTTTTGAGTAGACCATTCAATGTTGATAGTTTTAATTACTCCATCCCTAAGTAAATTAAAGAGTATCAAGATTCTTGAAAAAATATGAGATCTTTGAATTGTCCCAACTAAATATATATTTGATTGGCACACCTTGCCAGGTTGCTGGAAAAAAGGCCTTTGTAACTTTAAAATTTCAATTTGATGGCATTTCCTGATGAGTTGCTTAGATACTTTATTCAATCTCATTCAATAGAAGGTTGAAATGGCTACCAAGAACTATACCATAAATTTGGTTTACCCACCAAAGCTGCTGATTTGATAAAGTAAAGGTTTTTCATGATACAGTGCATAAATTGCTTTCTTTCTGGTTTCTCTATGAATATCTACATAGTTTCTTCAAACCAAATTCATGGCAGAAATGGGATGTAGTATATTTCTTTGTCTTCCACACACTTCACGTGGTTATAAGCATATGGTAGATCTCAAGAAACAGCAATTAGAGGCCATTTTATTAAGTAATTACATTATAATAACAACAACAGTGGACATTACCTCTAGTTGCCAAGTCATAAAGAAAAACATCGGTGAATACTAACTATTGCAAACATTTCTTGAACTTTTATATTTCCTTTAAGAAATATTTAAATTAAGGCACTAAAAATTCCTTCAGATGGATTTTTGGGAAGACATAAAGTCATGGAAACTAGTTCATCTCCAAAGAACTGATTCAAAAGAGGAACAAAAATACAAAGAAATAACTTCTGATTCCAAAACAAAAGGTAAGTGTGTGCAGAGAAACTCCCAAGTAAGTACCAGGATGTATGACGCCTGTTCACATGGAAGCACTTTCATAATATAAACAGTCTTCCAAACACAAATGTATATCTTAAATATATGCCCGAAAAACAATGCCTGAACCATATTGTCAGCACTCAGAAGACAGAAACTAGATTTTCTGCCTTGTTACAACTATAAATCCTGTCTGTATTCTGAACCCTAAGAACATCATCATTAATTTTTTTCAGCAGCAATGTCTTTGAAGAGATTAATATCTAAACTTTAAAATAGAAATTGGTGGTACAAATTTATTCCAAAGCATCATATTTTATATGTTGTGTGTATTGTTACTCATATACTGACCTGCCACAGAAATCAAAAGCAAATCTTTAAATATAAGTTGCTAAAATTTAGAATCTGATTTTCAAACTCGTAGACTAAAAATCTGGTTTGTGAATATTGGTGGTCAAATACAACACTAGTCACGAAATAATGAATGAATCTTCTTCCAACGCAATGCAAACTGAGAGGCGAAAGTGTTTTAAGGAATTTCGAAAATCTAAAATATATAGTGCTATAGCAAAAAGAGTAGTCAGGTGGTGATCAGAAGACACATTCAAGTCTTTTTACTACTTTGTGAACACAGATGGATTATTTAAAGTCCATGAATTGAAGTTTTAAATTTAAAGAATAGAGATAAGACACTCATGAAGAGAAACATATATATTATATTAGATATATTATACATATATAATTTATATAACGTATAATTTACACATATATATAATTTATGTACGTATATAATTCTTCCAGGAGGTGTGAGAAAAGCATGTAAAATGCTTTACAATGCTAAGGATATAAGTAGTATCTGGTACCATATCCTATACAGCGTAAGTGATCAATTGAATATTTAACACCCTTCCATTTCTTGTGAGTTATTATCGCATTTCTTTGCAGCTGCCATGAAAAAAATGTTATAGGAGCCAAGTCTCAAAAGTTATCTAAGCCGATGACATATAACCCTATTTAATTGTGTCATATGGTAGGTAGCAAAGCTCAGGGTTCCTTATTGCATAGGTTAGAAACTTTAAAATTAGTTGAGGATCCAGAGGTTTCTGCCCCTTTGCCATAATTCCTTTCATGAGCCAATCAGTTTACAGAGAAGGATGAGGGCCACGAACTGGTGAGAGGATAAGTCTGTGAGTGCAGAGAGAGCTGGCAGTTCACAGGCAGGGCTACCAGGGCACTGGAAAAGTATTACGGTGTCAGCACAGTGAAGCTCCACTTAGCAGCATTTCTTCTCCAAACCCCTCACAGGGTTTTTCTGTGGGTCTCTGGAGAGAACTGTTCACCTGCTCATCTGGCCAGATGAAGGGCAAGGGGATTGTTTTCATCAAAAGAGAAAGCCTTAGAAGGAGGAAATGGTGAACAAAGGGCTGAATCCAGAGGATTACAAATGCTTTTGAACTGCCCTGGGAAGATCAGAAGTGAGCAGCCGTGGAAGCTTTCATGCCGGCCTAAGTGATGCTCACCAGTTTTTAAGAAGGCAGGGGAGGAAGGTTTGCGGTGGAAACACTCTGCTAAGAGGCTTGTGTTAATAAGATCACAGAATTGCAAGTCCTAGATAACAACAACAAACACCAGGTGTGCCTGAACTATCAAAAGCAAATAAATATGACATCAGGTTCATTTCCATCAGTGCTATTACCATCATCCAAAAACAATCATAGCTCCAAATTAGATTCAGCCTAAATCCTGAGACCATCCAGCAGAAATACTCTTTCCCCTTTCTTTAACTCATGCCTGATGTGTTCATCAGAGAATTTCACAGGACAGGCTTCCATTAATGTACGCAGAGGAAAACAAGATATCCCTGGCTAGGTAGCTCAGGATATGCTAGAGAGACCCCTCAAGTACTGAGTCCCTCGGGCTTCTGTTTCTACCCACTGGAAGATGACTAGCATCTCTGGCCACTTGACATCACAAATGTAAACTATTCTCTGATCATTTACATTTGAAAACCTGATGCTTCACATCTGAAGTGCAACACTAACCTTATTTTCCCACGGCCATTTTATGAACTGCTTAGGTTAGAATTTTTAAAAATTAGTTGAAGATCCAAGTTAATTCCTGATACTATAAGAACATGAGAAAAAATAAAATGCTTAAATTGGAGTGTGGAGTCTCAGGCTGAGACTGTTTATTGTCAAGAGAGGGATATTTCTATGCTTAGAAGGTGGTATAAATGCCCTTACCCATAACACTTGGTTGCTTATAATTTGGGTGTGTCCTGGCTCTGTCATCCCACAGCACTGATGGGGCTGAGATGCAGGTCCCAACATGTACATGCTGCCTCTGAAAGCCATTCAGCATGAAGACACCTTCCCAATGTGCCTGGACCCCAGGGAAAAACTTACTTTCCCAAGCAATTGCTTCGTAAGTTTTAGAATAAAATATTAAAAATAAAATCAAAAGAGAACTCCTTGAAACAATTGTGAATGGGAGTTCATTCATGATTTGGCTCTCTGTTTGTCTTTTATCAGTGTATAAGAAGGCTTGTGATTTTTGCACATTGATTTTGTATCCTGAGACTTTGCTGAAGCTACTTATCAGCTTAAGGAGATTTGGGGCTGAGACAACGGGGTTTTCTAAATATATAATCATGTCACCTGCACACAGGGACAATTTGACTTCTTCTTTTCCTAATTGAATACGCTTTATTTCTTTCTCTTGCCTGATTGCCCTGGCCAGAACTTCTAACACTATACTGAATAGGACTGGTGAAAGAGGGCATCCCTGTCTTGTGCCAGTTTTCAAAGGGAATGCTTCCAGTTTTTGCCCATTCAATATGATATTGGCTGTGGGTTTGTCATAAATAGCTCTTATTATTTTGAGATACGTTCCATCAATACCGAATTTACTGAGAGTTTTTAGCATGAAGGGCTGTTGAATTTTGTCAAAGGCCTTTTCTGCGTCTATTGAGATAATCATGTTGTTTTTGCCTTTGGTTCTCTTTATGTGATGGATTATGTGTATTGATTTGTGTATGTTGAACCAACCTTGCATCCCAGGGATGAAGCCCACGTGATCACATGTACCCTAGAACATAAAGTATAATAATAATAAAGAGAACTCCTTGATTGAACATGTAAACTCAGAAAATATGGGGGAGAGTTTTAGGTTTTTAGAGTGAACATATTCATTCTCACCTTACCTACTTTAGCCTTGCTTCTAATCCCAAAGTTTATGGTCAACGACTGCTATGAGAATTTTACAAAAATAATTAAAAGGCTAGTATTAGACCCATAGTATTGTAGAAGTCGCACAAACATCTTTTTTCATTAGTTTCTCATGGAGTATATGTAAAATGACCTGAATACATAATATGTACTAAAAGAATGTGATATTTATTCACCCATTTTTTTATTTGCTAGAGGATTGCCCCGTGATTTCCATACCCTAGACCTGAAATGAAGATTATAAAAACCAAGAAGTAGAAAACATACCTGGCTAACACACATAACTTACGTTTTTCCATGATTGCTACAAATAGGGATTCTAGAGCCAGACAGTCTGGGTTCAAAACCCAGTTATATACTTTAATTAGTAATATAATTTTGGTTAATTTACTTCATTTTCCCATGCTTCATTTTTTCTCATCTCTAAGTTGGGGATAATGATGATAATACCAATATCTATCTCGTTATTTCGCTGTGAGAATAAGATGAGTCATTTGTTGTAGACTGAAAAAATTCACCAGCACCTAGTAATGTCCTAATTCTCAGTAAATGGTACCTCTCATTGTTACAGATTTCACTAAACTTTTTATTTCAGAGCTTTTATCTTTAATATAGCCTGTGATATAGAAGGTCTGCAATGTAAAAAGTCTGCAATATAGAAGCAATCACAATTGTACATTCTGTAAGTAGTCACCTGAACATTAAAAACACAGTCATTTATTTGATTAAATGATGGTCCACAATTTAGAGGTTAATAAAGAAAAGATTTACTTTAATGTCAGTTGTGAGAGCAAGATGTGAAAGATGGCCCTGTAGAACTATATGCATTTAGCCAGGAAGGTATAAATTAAGATAATGATTCAGATAACCTGTACACAAAGGGACCAGGTTGTAGGGGTGGGTCGGGTTCTTTTACTTCAATTTTCTAGCCAAGCTAAATTTTTTAAATACTTAAAATTCAAAGTCACCCGGTCTAGGCAGATACAGATTTTTAAAATGTTAAGTATCTAAAAACTGGATCCAGTAATACAAATAATATTAATGTGGCCAATATTTTGGAAATCCAGTCTACTTAATTTATCTAAGTTTACCAAGATAGTTTCTATACAGACTTCATGGCAGCCATGATCATGCCAAATAAATAACTGAAACACAGCACAATCAAAACATTTTCTAATCATCCTGCTCCAACTGAAAAGAGTCTTGTAGACTGATTAATTTAACTAAAGTCTTCAATAGCTTAAAGAAGTCTGATTCCAATGTTATAAAAATTTATTGCCATTGCTGATTTCTCAAAACGTCAGCCACTTTACCACATCCCACACTTCAAAACCTGCTGTGAAGACCAAATTACTTTCTACCTGGAAATACATTTTAAGAAATCATAGTTTATAACCAGCAGCTGCTGTTTTCACGGTCTTTCCAAAGCCAACTTCTACAGCCTTCATCTCACCTGAGAGTGTAGGTCTTCTTTTAAGAGATTGGGATCATAGTCCATAGAACAGGGACCGATTTTATTAGTAATGCTCCCTAGGGTTAAAAACAAAAAGGTGGAAAAAATATATGACACATTTTCACTTGAGAGGATGTGTAAGCTCACACTGCTGAAATCGAAGAGCTTATATATGCCTTGACAAATGGGGGTAGAAGAAAGAATTCTAAAACGAAGGCCCTAAGCTATGTCCCTGGTTTTAATTCAGCCAGTGTATGAACTTCAAGTAGAACTATACCCTCAGCCATATCACGGGATATAATTTACAAGCAGTAGCTGTGTCTGGTCTGCTTTCCTACCTCATCTGGGCAGGATTCTCTATCATCAGCTATGTTTCTGGGATCACATTTTCAAGGAAGCCCTCCTGCACCTTGTATCAATGGTTCAATATGAAACTCTGAGATTAGAGAGATTTGGTCCCTGCCTGCAACCGGTGCTTCTCACTTTACTTACTCTCCCAAGAAGCTGACTCATAAGTTTTGCAATACAATATTAAAAACAAAAAAGAGAACTCCTTAATTGAACATGTAAGCCCAGAAAATAGAGTTTTAGGTATCTTTGACATATCTTGCGTGATTATATCAAGGTTTCTCAGCTCGGGCGCTATTGACATATCGGGCTGGATAATTCTGTGTTGTGGTGGCTGCCCTGTGCTTTGTATAGCAGCATCCCTGGCCTCTACCTCCTCAATGCCAGCAGCACCCTCTACCTAACCCCCAACCACTAGTCGTGGCAACCAAAAATGTCTCCAGACTTTGCCAAATGTTCCTTGGGACAAAACATGGCCAGTTGAGAGCACTGTTCTAGATTGCAAACTCCTTAAGAGACAAGGTATCTTTTCACCCTTGCTTTTCCTATAGTGTCTCGCACAGTGCCTGACACAGAGTACTTTCCGAACCAATCAGATGCTGCTTAAAGGAAAAATAAATAAATAAATGGCAAGAGCGCTTATAAGCAGGTATTCCTACAGCTTTATACCTCCGAAGTCATTGTCTTGACCACTCATTTCACTGAACCCATATGGCAAGGTCTATCCCCAGGGTCTTGTGACAAATATCCTGGCCCAGAAGATGCTGGTGCTTGGAGTGCCTCAGGACAGCCACAGCTTTGATGTGGGGGTTGACCTGAAAGTTTTTTTTATCAAAACAGAGCGTGTGTTGTGAGCAGTCAAAGCTTTGTTTTCTGTCCCACTTTCTCCCTCCAGGAATTGAATGGTGTCATCCCCGTCCTTCAAAATTGCCTTTGTGGACCTTTTTTTTTTTTTTTTTTTTTGAGGCAGAGTCTTGCTCTGTTGCCCCGGCTGGAGTGCAGTGGCACGATGATCTCAGCTCACTGCAACTTCTACTTTCTGGGTTCAAGCAATTCTCCTGCCTCAATCTCCCGAGTTGCTGGGATTGCAGGCTTGAGCTACCACACTCAGCTAATTTTTTGTATTTTTAGTAGAGAGGGGTTTTGCCATGCTGCCCAGGCTGGTCTCAAACTCCTGAGCTCAGGCAATCTGCCCGCCTTGGCCTCCCAAAGTGCTAGGTGTACAGGCGTGAGCCACAGCGCCCGGCCCCTTGTAGACATTTTACAATGAGATTTAAGAAGTGTAAGATTCTGAGAACATAGACTGTGTGTCTGCATGCTTCAGAAATCTTTTCTTCCCAAAGGGTGACCCCGCCAGCTTCTTGATCCCCAGTCTAGGTCTGTGTGGGGCAAGCATTTTGGGAAGTGATGTTTCATTGTGTTTCTTGACACTGCCTCCAGTGTACTGCGCCAAGATAAAGGCAGATACTGAGAAATATCCTTCTCCATGGAAATTCAGATGGGTCAGGCACATCTTCTTTGAGACACCTGATACTTCAGTCACATAGATCCCTGGAAGAGCTACCTCTCTTTGGGTCTAAAACAGCATTTGTTGGTAGTGAGATTGTTATGGTCAAAATGACAATAAGAAAGGGAGGAGAAGGAAAAGTAGTGTAGAAAACATGTTTATTTAGGTTTTAAATATATTATTTAAATATAAAATTTTGATAATAGTTTAATTTATATTAATCATAAGTTAATTACATATTAAATTAATCATTATGATTACATATAATGTTTACATATAAAACATTATATCTAAACATATAAAACATACATAAACATATGTTAAAACGAATATATAATTATATATTGTATATAATATGTAATTATAATCTAATGATTAATTTAATATTTATATATAATTGACATATTATTATATATTATAATGGGTGACTTGATGGTTACATTAAATATTATTTAAATACTACAATATTTATATATTTAGCATATATTTTTAATGTATTATTCTTTTTAAAGGCTTATAATTTAAATTCTTAGTGTATAATTTCTAGCTGGAATAACGAATATAAATATGAAATAATAATAGAATGCATTTTTTAGTATTTTCTAAGAATTCTGTATATATTATGTTGTTTACATCACACACACACACACACACACACACACACACACGTTAAAATAGTTACCATTCCCCCATTTGATACATTTGGAAATTGAGACTCAGATCAAAGAACTTCCCTCAAATTAGACAGCCAATTAGAGGAAAATCTGAAATTTAGTGCCAGTTCTTTTTGACCACAAAGGCCATGCATTTCATCCTTCTGCTGTATCCTACTTGAGAAGCCACACCACATTTTCTACTTATACACACATTTAAACATTGGACACATTTTATTACTGCTGGAATGAATTACCACAAACTTAGTGACTTAAAACAACATCTTTTTATTGTCTCACATTTTTTGTGGCTCAGCTGGGCATAGCAAGGCTCAGCTGCTTTCTCTGTTTAAGTCTCACAACGCCAAAAATCAATGTGTGAGCCAGGGCTGCAGCTCTTATCTGAGTCTTGGAGTCTTCTTCAGGCTTACTGAAGGTTGGCAGAATTCATTCTCTTCTCATAATTTCCATGGGATCCCCATGGCCTTCAGGTCAGCAGCAACTGGTTGTGTCCTTTCCTTGCTTGAATCTCTCTAACCTTTTTTTCTGCCACCGGCATAAGAATGTTCTCTAGTTTTAAAGGTTCATGTGATTAAGTTCACCCCGATAATCTCTCTGCTGATGTGTAAACATTCTGGGGATTAGATCTTGAACATCTTTGGAAGACCATCTTAGAAATCTCCCTACTAGAAATAATTTCTAATTTAACAGGACTTACATCCCTATATGTTACTAAAATGTAGTGATGGCGTGCCTGTTAGGGTAATAAAGTCTCTATCAAAGAGAGAGACTCCTAAAAGTCTTTAATATTTTCTTGGTTCTCATGTAAAATGTTCTTTGCTTTAAAACAGATCTTCCTATTTATAAAAACATATATAGCAATATATGTATATTAGATAATTATTTATATATGCTATGTAATATTTATGTCATATGTGTCATGAAATTATTATATGTTATATAAATGTATCTATAATACAATATTTTACCAAACTGTAATCGTATCATATATGTAGTTTGCATCCTTCTCTACACTTAATATATTGTGTTTTTTACTGATTATTAAATATTTCCCAATGTATAATTTTTAATGACTGAACAGTAATACATAATATGGTTGTATTTAACCAGCCTCCTTTGGTTAATATTTATATCATGTTGCACATATTTTACAAAAATTTTATTGTCCTTCTGTGCTTATTTTCTTGAAATGAGTATTCAGGATCAGGGATACTAAATCAAATGCTTAAGGTTTTTTGTCTTTGCTCTATAAAATGAATTATAAAAGTTTATATTGTAACGGCCAATGCAAGAAAGTATCTCATTATCCACATGCTTGCCAAAACTTGTCTGCTTAGTGGACAAAATAATAAATTTAGTTGTTGTTTTAATTGGAAATCCTAGAAATCTAATACATTTGAATATTTTTATGTTTGCAGAGCATTTATATAGATTCTCTTCCATGCCATTTCCCCAAATTTTTCAGCTATAACATTTAATATTTTCTTTGTAATTTTTATCTTTACATATTAAGAATATTACTCTACCTGAAGTGATGGTTCAAAATATTTTTCTCAGTTTGCAACGTGTCTTTTAATTTCTTTGAGAGTTGTGTGTATATAAATAAGATATAATTTTCAGTCTTATATAGTCCTGTGTATCAATGTTTTCTTTCATTGTTTCTCCTTTTACTTATAAGCTCACAAAACCTTTTCACACTAAATAGTCAAACCATACATACACAAAATATAAATAAACAAAGAACTTTTGGGGTCCGTGTATGATTTTCTTGCATGCTTTCCCACTACCAGGTGAGTAGACATGGCACCTGGGGTCCTGCCAACACCTCAGGCTCAGACATGCAAAACACAACTGACCCTCATTCCTGTCCAAGGGCTCCTTTCTCATATTTTTCTATCTCTTTTCATGACTTTGCTATTCTCCTTCCACCCAGACTCAAAATTCTCTGTCTTGCCTGAATTTTCCTACTCTATTATCATCCACATCTAATGCCTTGTCACATTATCTTCTACCTCGTTCAGTAGTTTAATGGCCATTTCTTCCTCCCTTTCTCCATAACCCTAGCTTGAGCCTTCATTGCTTTCTACCTCTGCAGGTGCAGGCAGATGGGGGATGAAGGGAGAGAAAGAGAGACATTCAACTGAGATAAACTCATAGAATATGCTTTTTTGTTTTTTGCAAATTTTTATTTTCCATTCAATAAGACATTATGGCCATCTCTACAAGTCATAAAATATACATCCACCTTTTTTCTTAAAATGGCCTTTTTCTTCTAGATCCCCCTTCAGGGCTTCCATCCACAGTTCCCTGATTCCTTTTCAATTTACTTGCCCCATATAACCAGACACACACACACACACACACACACACGGACACACACACAGGGACATGTACATTTATAGAGGCACTTTTTATCACTGCACAAAAAGGAGATTATATATAATCTCTTTTATATATTTTTATATTATATATAATATAATTTTTTTATATTATATGTAAAATATATATAATATGCTATTATATTAAATATAAAATAAAATGGGTTATA